GTACCCGAGCTAGGCGGAACCATCCACTTCATCAAGTGCGTGCTCGAGCGGGTAGGCACTCTGGAGGTTCTTAGAACCGACTAACATTGTTCTTGTGCACTGCTGCAGCTTCCCCACGTCCAAAATGGACGAAATCACAGACTTTGTGCGCCGCCGTTTCTTCCACCGATACATCAAGAAGATCGCGTGCACAGGTGGCGGTGCCTTCAAGGTGCGGTACTCTCACAAAGCTCTGAGTTGGTAGGTATTTTCATTTCGTGGGTGTGTGCCGATGCAGTTTTCACAGTTGTTCGAGTCGCGCTTGGGCATTGAGCTGCATAAGGCGGATGAGATGGATGCACTGATCCAGGGTCTTAACTTCGTACTGCGTCACGCTCCCAACGAGTGCTATACCTTTGTAAATGTGATCCCAGACACCCACGGACTAGGGAGTGCCACGAAGAAAATGTTGCCAAAGCCGAACAAGAACGACTTGTATCCGTTCCTGCTGGTGAATATTGGCTCCGGTGTGAGTATTCTCAAGATCACCGGAGAGTCGCAATACGAACGCGTGTCCGGTACGAGTCTGGGCGGCGGAACTTTTCTAGGTTTGTGCCGTGCGTTGTCTAAGCTACGTACGTTCGACGAGGCAATGGATGCCAGTGTCGAGGGCGACTCGAATGAGGTGGATATGACCGTGGGCGACATCTATGGTACTGCCGGCTACGAACAGTTCCATCTGAAGCCAGACACAGTTGCCAGCAGCTTCGGTAAGGCCGGCGCGCGCCGCCTGCCGCATCCACCACGAGACGCTGACCTTGCGCGCTCGCTGCTCTTCATGATCACTCAGAATCTAGGCCAGCTGGCATTTTTGAATGCACGCCGCGTGGAGACCAAGCGGATCTATTTCTCAGGCAACTTCCTGCGGCGCAACGAGTTGGCGTGCAGGCAGTTGGCTTACGCCATCAGCTTTTGGTCCAAGGGCGAAATGCAGGCGCAATTCTTCCATCACGAAGGCTTCTTTGGCGCACTAGGGACGTTCTTGCAGCGCTTCAGCTCGGTCCCCGAGCTACCAGCCGTGAGCGAGACGGAGGAAAACAGCAGCGAGACGGATGTAGATCAGAGTAGCAGCAGTGGAGACGACCAAAAGAGCAGAGCCTCCCACACACAATAGAGCGAGACGCCGCTGCCGCTGGCACCTTCCTGTAGGGTATTGCAAAGACGCCCTGGCCGCAGAGAGCGAGCTTGTAGTCCTCGTTTTTGAAGAAAGAGAGTGAGAAAGTTGCTGATACCGTATGATACTCCGCATTCCTCAACAAGATTCGTAGGACTGACTTGGGTTTCGAAGCCATGCACAATGTGGCCCTCACAGTGGGGCGGTGATGCACACGCGGGCCAGGAATATACGGTTGACGCCATGCTGGCCGAGACAAATGATGTGAAGAAGACGGTCAGCGATGGCAAGTAGCTCAAGGCTAATTTCCAATTCCCTCACGTTGTAGCCGGTCTTGCCCGAGGTGGCGGCGCACTCGGCGTAGCTACCTGCCCCAAGCGACACAGTACTGATAGCGTATCAGGTCTTGCCGCCGCTGATGGCGAATTGGGCCAGCATTGCTTCAGGGCTCGAACCATTGCGAAACATTCCACTGAAGCCGGTGGCCAGGTCGCGTGACGTAGAGCTTCCCACCGCGACGATCTTGGCCACGTTGTTGTCGTACAAGTTGATGCCGAAGTTTTAGTCGTTCACGAAAGATACGCTGGTAGCCAAGGTCACCGCCATCTAAGGGTGTGAGGTGGAGTAAGCCACAGGCAGATATCCTTGAGGAGTAAAAGTGGTTCTATCCCCGCTCAAGACAATTCACTCGCTCGCTGACAATCTCGCATATCGCCATATTAATCCGCGGCCATGACTAATTCACAGGAGCAAGGACCGGATCCAGCATCGTAAGTGAAAACCAAACGCTGTTAGATTAGCAGAACCACCATCGGCTTCGCCAACGCTTACGTTGACTGGTTTGTGAACTATACTCTAGCAGGCTGTAAGGAGGGACAAGTTGAAGCCTGCCGAAGAGCAGAGTTCGCGATGCAAAACCGAAGATGGCGATTTAATTAGGAACGGCGGAAGCATAACGATGATGCGATTCGCGATCCAACTCTAGCAGTTTTAACTCTAGGTCTCTCGTCACTTTCCCGTTATCTCCGCAGCGATTCGTGACTGGCTGCTGCGGCGTAAACGAAACCATTTTTGACCACTCAGAGCACTGTTTACCCACGCAGAAAGCTTACACACGCGTGCAGGGTACCACCGCAACTTCGACCAAAATGCGTCCGATGGCTCATTCCCCAACTTGCCAACTACCAGTCAATCGCCTTCACCTAAGACGATGGCCTCGCAATGGGAAGAACCAAACGACTCCGACCATCCAGCCTACGTTGCACTGCGCACACCGCGACAATCCGACGCTGAAAAAGCCAAGATCGTGGACGTCTCGTCCCAAGATAACTCCGAGCTATCAAGGCAAGTGCCATTGCTCCAGCTCTTCTCGTTTGCCGACTTTACCGACAAAATCCTCATGACCCTGGGCACAATCGGAGCACTGGGTGCTGGCATCTTGCGTCCGTCGATGAACCTCCTGTTGGGCAACGTCATTAACTCGTTCGGCTCGACCACTGGAGAAGGATCTTCCTCCGATGACTTCTCGTCCAGTGTGAATAAAGTCGCTCGCAACCTCGCCATTGTGGGCGTGGCAGGACTCGTAGCAGGCTATTTACAAGTCTATTGCTGGTCTCTCACGGCGTCACGTCAATCCAAGCGCATCCGAAGCCTCTACGTCAACGCCATCATCACCAAAGAGATCGGCTGGTTCGACGTGAATGACCCGATGTAGTTGTCGACCCGTGTGGCCGACGCTACCGTCACCATCCAGGACGGTATTGGGTCCAAGATGAGCGACCTGTTACACTTCACAGCGACGGTAGTGTCGGGCATCGTCATCGCGTTTGTCAAGGGCTGGGAGCTGACACTAATCTTGATGGCTGTGGTCCCTTTGTCGCTGCTAGTGGCATACTAGCGAAGAGAGTGATTATAGCCGCTACACACCAAGGAATGCAGGCGTACGCACAAGCCGGTGCCGTGGCGCAGGAGTCGCTCAGCAACATCCGAACGGTGCACATGTTCAACTCGGTCCAGTGTTTCGTCGACAAGTACAGTCACGCACTTAAAAGTGCCACAGATGCTGGGATTAAGAAGTCATTTGCTGTTGGTTGGGGAAGTGGACTCATGTACATGATGGTGTTCCTCATGTACGCACTGGGCTTCTACTTGGGTGCCGTGTTCATTGCACGCGATAACCTCGACGGCAACACGTGTGAAGGTTCTAGTTGCTACGATGGAGGTCGCGTCTTCACGGTGTTCTTCGCAGTTATGCAGGGGGCAATGGCCTTGGGTCAGGCTGGCCCCAGTCTTCAGGCAGTCTACTCCGCATGTGCTGCCGCTTTCGATGTCTTTGAGGTGATCAAGCGACCGTCGCTGATCGAGCCCACCAACGACGACCAAGGCAAGAAACTCGATCACGTTTCCGGAG